GAGGGTCTTGCTATGTTGCCCAGGTTGGTCTCAAACTCCCAGCTTCAAGCGATCCTCCCGCCTCAGCCTCTCAAAGCACCGGGATTACAGACGTGAGCCACAGCACTGGGCCAGTATGTAGCCTTTTGCGTTTGGTTTCTTTAAACTTGAGGTTCATTTGTGCTGCTAGTATCAGCAGCTCCTTTCTGATTGCTGAGTGGTCTACCGTTGTGAGGACGTACTGGGGTTTGTCCATCCTTTCCCTAGTTGAGGGAGTGGCCCTGAGCTATTGATGATGACTCAATATTTGTAAAGTGATTAGGACAGTAACTGGCATGTTCTACACGTGTCAGCTGTTGTGATTATACCAGTGTGGGTGGGGCTTGCTGAGAAATTGGCCTCTTTGGTGTTCCGCTGTCTCCTAATCGTGCATGCCTCCCTGGGCTGGAAGAGGGAGCCCACCCTTCCCAGCCGTGAAGGGCCAAGACTGCATTTGGTGCAGACGTGGCAGAGGCTGGACTCCACCGGGAACCTCCCCTCCCCCGCCCTGAAGCTGAAAGTGGGCCCTGCGCCCACGGACACGACGAGGCGGCTGCCTCTCCTCTGCCTGCCAAGATCAGCATCTGGGAAGCTTCTCTGCAGACTGGGGCCCCTTCCCCCAGTGCTGGGGCGATGATGAGAAAGTTGGGATCCATCTCACACACTCCTCTCCATGCAGTTCTTTCTGCCAAAAGCCGAGAACCAGGGGGATGGGGAGGACGGTGGAAGCCCAGAGGGGATAGGGGACAGGCCTGGCCCCATTGATTGGGAGGAGTTTGCAATATCTGGGGTGGGGGTGGGAACAGAAGTCAGAGGCTTCCTGTCACCTGGATTACAGAGAAGAACAAACAAGAAGGCAGAGAGGTGGGGCGCGGTGGCTCTTGCCTGTAATCCCAGCACTTTGGGAGGCTAAGGCGGGAGGATCATTTGAAGCCAGGAGTTCGAGATCAGCCTGGACAATATAGCAAGACCCTGTCTCTAAAAAAAAAAAAAAAATTAGCCCGGCACGCTTGTAACTAACTTGAACCCAGGAGTTCAAGGTACAGTGAGCTATGATTGCGCCACTGCACGATACCATGGGCTACAGAGTGAAGACCCTGTCTCTAAAAAATAAAAGAAATTTATAAAGGGGGCAGATAGTCAGGGCTGCTGGGCTGAGAGGAGCCAGGTAGCTCTAATTCAAATCCCACCATTCCTGTGTGCCTCAGTTTTCCTCATCTTTAAAATGGGATGATGATAATAATACCCACCTCCTCGGGTTGTGAGGATTCATAGAGTGGCACCCAGCGCACAGTCCGTGTCGTATGAGCGTTAGCCATTATTGTTAGTGACCCTATAATTAGCGGAAACTACTTCAAGCCTCTTCCTTCTCCTGTATTTCTTTTGCCTGGGAGTTCTCCAAGAAAAGGGCCCTGTTTCCTTCCTCTTCCATGGCTCCCTTACTTGGGGGGCCCTGAGGGCAGGGCCAGTTCTTTCCCTGACCCACCCCCCAGACCATCAGGAAGTCGAGGCCTCCAGTTCTCTGACCCCTTCCCTTGGCTGACCTGGCGGAGACCTTGTGTTGCTTCAGCAGCAGGAGGAAGGTGGAAGCTGCCTGTTGGTGTGTTTGCGTGTCCCGTGGGACATCACCTTTGTCTGGGAGCCACAGTTCCCCTAGCAGACAGCCGGATATGTCTGTGGCCTTGACATCACCCCCACCCCCAGGTCCCTGGAGAGATGTCAATTTGCTGAGCCAGCCCAGGCAAATGGAGGGGGGCACTTCCTCTCCAGTCTTCAGGTCCCCACAGAAGTAGAGATTTCCTCTTGATAGCTCCCCTGCAAAGAGAAAACCCACTTTTCTCTGTGCCTCTTGCTTTGCAGGTTGAACATCTGGTTTCTAGACGTTGTCTAGGTGCCACACTTCACTTGCCAGAAGATACAGTGAGGTTTTCCTGCGGTCCAAGTGGACCCCAAGATCAGGCCTAGAACCAAGTAGACCCCAACATCTAGCTCAGGAAAAGATGCAAAGTCTAGAATGACTAGTCATTCTCTGACTCCCCTTATCTCCCCATCAAAGCCCCATTACCTGTGTTAGAACCATCTGTTTTCTTCTGTCCTCTCCATCAGATTGTCAGCTTTGGGTGGCAGGAACCAATGAGGCATCACCAGGGCTTACCACAGAGCATTAGCTGCTGTGTTACATACATATACATGTTGCATATAACATGCATATACATGTTGCATACATATATGTAGCACTAACGTTGATTCTTAATCATATCTTCATTAATAATTTATGTATGCTTATTTCTTAATGTAAATTTGTTAATATTAATATGTTGTACTTTGACAACTAAAGCAAGTAAAAAAATATGTTGAAGAAACCATTGATATGTTTATTAACAAGGTTATTTATTAAGGGGCCTGCAGTGGTGGTGCTTGTCTATAGTCCCAGCTACTCGGGAAACTGAGGCAGGAGGATCGCTTGAGCCCAGGTGTCTGAGGCTGAGCCCAGGTGTCTGAGGCTGCAGTGAGCTATGATCGTGCCACCGCACTGCAACCTGGGCAACAGAGTGAGACCTTGTTTCAAAAAGAAAAAAAATGTTTAAATATTATTTATTATTATTATTGCAACGAGAAGTGTGGGAACTTGTGACTGTTTATTTTTCCTAAGTTTTTGGAATTGGTAACGCAAGCCAAAAATTTCACCGTGAAAACGTGGCCTCTTCTCATTTAGTTTTCCTTCCCCCCAGCTGCTCCCCCTAAGAGTAACCGCTGTGACTAGTGTCTCGTGCCTTCTCCCGGAGACGGTCTGGGTGTGCACAGGCAAATGTATGTGTATTTATACAGCTCTTATAAATACACCCAGAAATGCAATGCACATCTGCCTACATTGTGCTGTTTTCAACTTGTTACGTTGAAGACGGTTTCACATCAGTGCGCACGAGACTACTCCATTTCTATTTTTTAAGAGGCAGAAATGGATCAAGTTTAATTTTCTCTTTCTTCTTTTTGCCTTTCAGATACTCTTTAACGAAGGACAGCATCATATACATCCGGGAGACCGTGCCTAACCCCTCCTTGCTTTGCATTGGTCGCACTGTCTGGTTATCATGAGCTTTAATATTTTTTTAATTTAATTTATTGTTGGAATAGCACATACATGCATATGTTACAGAAGTCAAAAAGCACAAAAGCATTCACTGAGGGAAACAGCAGCTTCCTGTCATCCTCAGAGTTCCCTTCCCCCATCCCTAAGTACCTCTCCTAGGAAATTGATCAGTTTCTGCTTCTTGGAATATTCCGGGTTTTCTGTGTACATACAGTAGGCCGTCAGCTCCACAGGGACAGGGAATTTGGTCTGTCTTGTTCTCTGGTATATCTCCAGGCTTTAGAACAGTGCCTGGCACATCGTAAGTGTTTAATGCATTTGGTAAACAAACATACATACATTATGGTACCTTCTTAACTGAAAAGGCCACCTCTCCCACCTGAACATAAGTTCCATGAGGACAAGGAATTTTTTTTCTTTTTTTCCTGTTTTGTTCACTGCTGTTTCCAGTAGGTGCACCATAAACGTTTGTTTAAGGAATGAGGGGCTCTCTTATCCTGTTGTCAGCGCTGGTTACACACACACACACACACACACACACACACACAGGTACACAAACAGCTGTCAATGAACACAACCTGGGCCTTGCCGATCCACCCCAGCGAGGGCGGGACAGCGATCTACACAGGCAGGCTAAACAGCTGGGTGTCCCCAGTCTCCTAGGGTAGAGAGGGCAGCGTCAGATTTCTGGAGTCCTATGAAGGTAGAGACCAATGCTGCTTTTAAAGCAGCGCGTGGCACACAGTAGGAACTGATTTATGTTGGATGGACGCACAGTAGGCGCTTAAACCTATTTAGTGGGTTGACACATAGTAGGTATGTGGCTCCTTGTTGAATAAATAAGGGAGATCCCGTGTCGTCCTGCAATTCCAGAGTCCCAGGGATGGACGCGAGGATATTTGGAATTGAAGGTAGTGTTTCAGGTTGAGGCCACCTGGCCAGGAGCGCCATGACGTCTCGGGGCTGAGTGACGCCACGCGCCAGCCGGTTCTCACGGGTGGGGGCTGGGAGGGGCAGAGCGAGAGGTGGTGGGGAGGACAAAGGGGCCCTGCGCGCCGCCCCTGCCGTCCCCCGCGCGGGCCCGGCCGGCCCGCTGTTCACATCTGGAATTCATTGCAGCAGCCGCCGCCGGAAAGGGGAGGAGAGGAGGGCGGGGCGAGCGGGGGGCCGAGGCGGTGGCTCTCCCCGCCCCTCGCTCCGTCCCTGGTCCCCAACCCGGGACGCAGCCGAGCCCGGCGGGCAACCCCAGCCCCAGCCGCGGCCACCCCGGGGACGCAGACGCCAAGGCCCCTCCGGCCAGGGCAGGGACCCCGGCCGGCTTAGCCAGGTGAGCGCGCGCGGCCGGGGGAGGCAGAAAGGGCGGTCCTTGGTCCCCGAGGTCGCCGGATCGGAGCTGGGGGGCCCGGTCAGGGGGCTGGAGCTCGCCGGGCGCGCACGCGCCGCCTGTGTTCCTGCTGCACGGAGAGGGTGGTCACCGTGGCTCCAGGCGGCCCCCACTGACTCGGCCGTGAACCCCCAGACTGCGCTCCCCGCCTTCCCCAACGGCAGGAAGTTGGCGCCGAGGACAAGGCGGAATCCGAGCGCTTTCGGCTGGAGACTTTGGAAGACAGGACGGTGTGCCCGGGGACCAGGGTTTTGGGGAGTGTGTTTGGCAGAGGGGTACAGCACCCCTCCTGGCTGACCCCGCTGAGCGAGGGCGAAAAGTGTCGCCGGCCCCGGAGCTTCCAAACCAAGGGGCGGGGCCCCGGGGGAAGGCAGTAGCCCACCGCCTGCGCGGCTGGCTTTCTGCCTCGGTTTCCCCAAATTGTTCGCCTCCTCCAGTCCCCCTGCGGGGGCGTGGTTTTGTTTGGGAAGGAAAATGAGAGCGACTGCGTGGCTCTGGCGCCTCCTTTTTCAACTCCGGCCCAGGGATGGGGCGTGGGTGAAGGCGCCCGTGGCACAGACCCTCGCGTGGTCCCCGGGCCTCGCAGAGCGTCGGGAACTCGCCCCCTGCTGTGGCACAGATTGAGTCACCCGGGGATTTCCACCCCCTCCCCCGTCTCTGCCCTCGTCAGACGCTCCGGTCGCCACGCGCTGAGCCCACGGTCCCCTGCGTGGCGCGACGCCGGGACAGCATTCCCGGTGCGACCAGTGCTGGGATCTCCCCCCTTCCCCAGTCCTCCGAGAATCTCGCACTGGGGCTCCTGGCCGCCAGCGCCACTTGGAGATGTGGGGGTCCCCGCGCGTGTGGCGATCGCGGGACAGAGGAGGCGCGGCCCTTGCGCGAGCGAGTGTGGATACCGCACATTCCTCGGCCAGATAAGGAGACCGAGAGTGCGGGCCGGCGCGGGGGCGGGTCCTGCTGCCGTCTCCACGGAGACGCGCTGGGCTTCGCTTGGTGGTGGGGGGGAGGGCCGCCAGCGGACCAGAGGTGTCTCCACCCTCCTTTGCTGTTGCTTGGGTCTGGGCTGCACTTGGGAGCCTCGGCCCTCGGGAGCCCACTGGGGTCTCGTTTGTCCGTTCGTTCATTCATTCATTCATTCATTTGCGCAGTCCACATGTTGGCTGAGCGTTCTTTGTGCCAGGCATCCTTGCAGGGGCTGAGAATGAACTCGGTCCGCAGCCTCCCGCACTCGCAGTCTACTGTGATAACTTCCCATAGTGGCAAGTGCTGTGAAGATAATAAAAGGAGATGCTGTGACAGAAGGGGCTTGGGGAAGGTTGCCACTGCAGACGGGTGGTCCCAGGAGGCCCCTCTGAGGAAGTGACCTTTAAATGGAAACCTGAAAGATGGGGAGACAGTCATTTAAGGATTTGGGGGAACGGCGTGCCAAGGGTGGGAATGGCCCATAAGAGGCTAGTGCGGTTGGAGGGGCTGGCCCCATGGAGAGTGGGAGGAGGCTGCCGAGCCAGGGGCCCTGCCACTGCGGCCATAGGTAGCCATGGAAGAATATCGAGTCCCAGAGTGACATATTATAAGTTAAAAAGCTCCCCCTAGCAGCTTGGTGGAGAATAGGAATAGCAGTGTAAGGTGGGGCGGGTGTCCTGTTGGGAGGAGGACCAAAGGTGGGTAGGGGGCTGCCCTATGGCAAGGGGCATGGGATTGTTGGGTGACCAGGGGGAACTGTGACCACAAGATCTGCCTCTCTGCAACTGAGACGAGGTGGAGAGGAGCCTGGAAGCCACTGAGCCCTCCTCCAGCCTTCCCCTCTCCTAATCTCCAGCCAAACAGTCGTCCCGGTCTGTCTCTCTTCCCTTCCCTTTGTGCCCTGTCACTTGTCCTTATAGTTCCATTTCAGGCCTGGACATTCTATCTCCCGTTCTGAGCCCAGTGGCATCTTCCTGACTCTCTGAGAGGCAGTCAGGACTGCTTTGGTGAAGGTGACTAGGAGACAGGCTCTGTGTCCTCCCCTAAACCTGGGAGGCTGAGACAGGGGAGAGGAAGCAGACCAGGCCTCCATCCGTCTAGGGGGTGACCCTTCTGCCGGCTCCAACCTGCCCTGCTTCCTCTTTCTGGGAAGCCAAAACCGCCTAAGCTCCTGCCCTGACAAAGTCCTAGTGGGGAAGATGAGACTCGGATATAGCGTGGGCCTCAGTTTCCCTTTCTTTAGGAGAGCTGCTTCTATCTCTCTTTCTTGCAGTTGGAGAAAGTGGACTGCAGCGCCCCCAGTCTTTTCCCCAGGGAGTAAGACTGACTTTTTAGTTAGTCCCGCGGTGGTAAAGGGCTGAACACTAATTCTCCAGGAAGCCGCAGTAAATCTTTCTCCTCGTGAGCAGTGGAGGGGGCGGCCATGAGACACACCCTGGGCTTCTTGCCCACCAGCGAGTGTGCTTCCCAGGCCTGCGAAGGGAACTCGATTCTCAATTATGAACCCCAGGAGGGGCCCAGCAGGCCCAGGGCAGCCTGGGGGCGTCTGGTCAGGGTGACGCAGCGGTCAGGCCACGGTTCAGACTCCCCCCAGGGACATCCACACAGCATTAACTCTGTCCTTGGAAAGTGCCGAGGTCCAGTCGCCAGTTCGGTAAAGGCTAGCCGCAGAGCGCCCCTAACTGGGCCAATCAGAAGCCGAGGATGGAACGTCAGGCCAATAGACAAATCGCTCCGTGCCCTCGGATTGAAAATGAGCCAATCAGGGCGCGGGCTGTTTCCGGTCCGACGGCCGGTCTGGTGAGGCCAGTTGGCCCGGGCCAAGTCAGCCGGGGACTGGCTGCAGCGGCCAGAGGGCATCAGGCCGCCCGGGGCTCCGTCCAGCAAGGGAACAAGGGGCCTCTGTGTGGCGATCTGGGCGGGGCAGCCGTCCCTCAGAGAAACGCACAAGCCCTTGTCTGTTCCCAAACTAGGACGGATGTCCCTCCGCCTTGGGGGAGCAGCTGCTTCGAAGTCCGGCTGGGGGCCCAGAACGCCCCTCTGAGGGGGCAGCCAGGGACTGAGATGGCTGGGCGACCCTGGAAGCCCCCCATCACTACTAAGCTCACTAGGAACCGGCCTAACCAGACTTTTCTGGAATGGTGCACGCACTCCTTGCCAAGTGCGTTTCTAGAGACCTGGGGCGGACTCTCTCTGCCCCCGCCCCCCTCCATTTAGCTAAGGGCTGGAGCTTCCTCCCTGCTCCCCTCTTGAAAGGCAGATACTGCACTGGCTCTTCTGAGACCCCCCTCTACCCTGCCGCCAAGCTGGGGGAAGGCCAGGGCGTCTGCCTCTCATCCTCTCTGTCTCTCATCCTCTCTTCCCACCCCCTTCCCCCACGGCTCAGTTTTCCTTGAGAGGGGGGTGACTCAGGCTTTCATGGAAACAAATGCCTCCCCCCTAGTGGGGCTTCACGCCCCCTCACCGCTCACATGATTTCAGCCCAGCCGCCCCAGCCTCCCAGCCAGGACCTCCCAGATGGGTCTCCCCATCACAACTCCCCCCACCCAGCCTTCCCCACACCGGATGTGACTAGGGAGAGGGGACTCCACCCTGTTTGTTCCAGGGGCCTCACATCTGGATTTCATCCTGGCCGGGGAGGGGTTGCCAGCGCCCTGCCCACCCCCCTGGGACTCTGTGTCCCAGGGCAGAGCTAGATGGTGCTGATGGGAACAAGCTGTCCCCTGGTTGGCTTAGCCAGGATCCCCTCCCCTCCCAAAAGATTGTGTAGGGGGGCCACCAAATCCAAAGCCCTGTGTGTGTGGCGGGAAGAGGGGAGCTAATAACATTAGCTAACATTTGTTGAGTGCTTATTATATGCTGAGTGTGCCTCTTACATCATTTAAAAGGATTTTCCTAGCACCCATATGCAGTAGGCTTTCTTCTCCCCATTGCACAGATGGGGACATTGAGGCTAAGAGGCTGAGAGAGTGTTGGGTGACTCATCCAGCATGTCAGAGTTGGAATGGGAGCCAACTCTGATTGCCTCCAAGGCCTATGTCCTTGAAGATGGTGTGACCTCCGGGATGTTTAAACCTCAGGGCCGCCCTGGTGTCTCCCCAAGACCTTATCTTGGGAGCACCCAAGGCCCCAGGGCTTAGACTCAGCCTGAAATCTGGGGCCGTGGGTGGTAATGAGCAGGGGATGGTGCTATCAGTGGTGAGAATCTCCCTGACCCAGGTCAGCAGACGGCATGAAGCCCAAGCCTCCAGTGTGTTTGAAAAAAGAGACAAACCCTCCAGGCCCTACCCAAGGCTTGCTCCCTGGGTAGATGGGCAGGGTTTCTGGAAGTCCACATTATATGCTTCATGCCATTTGGGGGAGCTTCTGTCCCTTTGAAAGAGAGTGTAGCTACTTGGAAGGCCGAGGCAGAAGATTGCTTGAGGCCAGAAGTTCAAGACCAGCCTGGGCAACACAGCAAGACCTCATCTCTACAAAATACAGAACAATTAGCTGGGCATGGTGGCGTCTGCCTGTAGTCCCAGCTACTTGGGAGGCTGAGGTGGGAGGATCACTTGAACCCAGAAATTTGAGATTGTGGTGAGCTATGATCACGCCACTGCACTTCAGCCTGGGCAACAGAGTGAGACCTTGTCTCTAAAAAAATAAAATTGAAAAATTAGCCAGGCGTGGTGGTGGTGCGCACCTGTAGTCCCAGCTGCTCGAGAGGCTGAGGTGGGAGGATTGCTTAAGCCCAGAAGTTGGAGGCTGCAGTGAGCTATGATCGCACCACTGCACTCCAGCCTGGGTGATAGAGCGAGACCCCATCTCTAAAGAAATAAAATAAAAAGAGAGCGTCACCTAGGGGTTATAGAGGCTGCGGAGCCAGTCTCCTGGCTCTGCCACCTGCTAGCTTTGAGACTGTGGCAAAGTGAATTGACCTACCTGGGTTTCGCATCTGGAAATGCAAAACCCAGAGATGATGATTCTGACTTCACGTGGCCATTCAGTGAGGAGTGACAGAGCTGGAATTCGAACCTCAGCCGTCCGAGGTCAGAGCTCTCTGACCTGTTGTCTGTCTGTCTGTCTCTCTTTGCAGTTCTGACAGTCCCATGGCCCCGGCCGGCCACTGAGCTCCAACATGGGCAGCTTTTACTCGGAATACCTGAACTCCAGCAAGGTCCTGGAACACTACACATACACCAAGGAGACGCTGGAAACACAAGAGACACGCTCCCGGAAGGTGGCCTCAGCCTTCATCATCATCCTCTGCTGCGCCATCGTGGTGGAAAACTTGCTAGTACTCATAGCCGTGGCACGCAACAGCAAGTTCCACTCGGCCATGTACCTGTTCCTGGGCAACCTGGCCGCCTCCGATCTCCTGGCCGGTGTGGCCTTTGTGGCCAACACCTTGCTGTCCGGCCCCGTCACGCTGGGGCTGACACCCGTGCAGTGGTTCGCCCGCGAGGGCTCCGCCTTCATCACGCTCTCTGCCTCTGTCTTCAGCCTCCTGGCCATTGCCATCGAGAGGCACGTGGCCATTGCCAAGGTCAAGCTTTACGGCAGTGACAAGAGCTGCCGCATGCTGCTGCTCATTGGGGCCTCGTGGGTCATCTCGCTGGTTCTCGGCGGGCTGCCCATCCTTGGCTGGAACTGCCTGGGCCACCTCGAGGCCTGTTCCACCGTCCTGCCTCTCTACGCCAAGCACTACGTGCTGTGCGTGGTGACCATCTTCTCGGTCATCCTGTTGGCCATCGTGGCTCTGTACGTCCGAATCTACTGCGTGGTCCGCTCCAGCCACACCAGCACGGCCAGCTCGCAGACGCTGACCCTGCTCAAGACGGTCACCATCGTGCTTGGTGTGTTCATCGTGTGCTGGCTGCCAGCTTTCAGCATCCTCCTCTTGGACTACGCCTGTCCCGTCCGCTCCTGCCCCATCCTTTACAAAGCCCACTACTTCTTCGCCTTCGCCACGCTCAACTCGCTGCTCAACCCCATCATCTACACGTGGTGCAGCCGGGACCTGCGGCGGGAGGTGCTGCGGCCGCTGCGATGCTGGCAGCGGGCGGCGGCGGGGGTGCAAGGGCGGCGGGGTGGGACCCCGGGCCACCACCTCCTGCCGCTGCGCAGTTCCAGCTCGCTGGAGAGGGGCACGCACATGCCCACGTCCCCCACGCTCCAGGAGGGCAACACGGAGTTATGAGGCGGGGGCCCATAGGTGGGTTGACAACCATTCCACAGCAGGGGGCTGCGTGGAGAGGCTCCGGGTGACCTCAGACAAGGGGCTGCCACGCCAAATGCCCAGCCCCCCCCACAGACCTGGGTGATACTGCAAACATTTCACACCCTGCGTGGCCAGCTGGGGCACTGCCTAGTCTGGTTGCAGTGCTGCAGTGGGGTCCTGGGGTCAGCGTGCTGCCAAGTGTGACCCCTTTAGAACTGGATCACGGGGAGGCCAGGGGGACGCCCATAAAGGGCAAGGTGATAGCAGGCAGGCACTCAAGGGGAACTCAGGGCAGGACCACTTTACCACCCGGTTCAAAGGATTTCAACATTTTCCTGTCCGACCCCCAGCCCTGCACCAAACTCCCCTCTCTGAATCTACCCCTCCTGTGCCACCGTCTCTGGACAACCTCAGGCCACTTCTTTGGAACCACTGTCGGGAAGAGCTAGAGGCCCCTCCCGGGCCTGAATCCACAGCTTCCCTAAATTTCAGCAGCTGCCACTTGGGCGACTTCTTCCCTTTCCTCTGAGTCCACGAGATCCCCGGAAACCTCGGGGTGGAGGTGGGGAGGGGAGGGGGCTGAACCCATTCCCGGATCTCAGACTTCATTGGTCAGTTGCACTATTTGGGGCATAGATGAATAATAACCAAAGGCAGGAAATACCAGTTTGGGGGGGCTGCTTCTCCTGGTGTGGGGCAGGGTGGGACTTGAGAAAATTCTGGGGGAAATGTTTGCACAGGATCCCTCCCCCAACTTCCAAATGCAATGACCCCCAAGCCAGCCCCACCTCCACACCTGCAGCCCCAGCCAAGGTCCCAGGTCTCCTAAGGCAGGGCAGCCCTGAGTCCTCTGTGCCTTCTTTCAAGTTATATTGAATGGGGGGTGGTGGGGGTGGCCAAGGACATTTCCGGGGATGCTGTCCCCTAATCTGCCCCAGAAGGACTTTACGAAATCCTGTGGATAGACGGAAGGGATTTTGCGGTACATATATTTATGTGTGTCTGCGTGTGTCTGTGTGTGTGCACATACGTGACGTCTGTGACCCCCTCTCCCGATCACGTTTCCCCCCGAATGGATGCTGTTCTGTCTCCTCTTGTCCGTGTTGAAGCTGCCAAAGGGAGGTTCTGGCGCTGCCCAGACCCTAATTGCTGACTCATCTGCCCCCTCGAGAGCTGGGGTGCAGCTCACATTGGGGACGGAAACCTCACGCCTGAAAGCAATTTCTTGTGAATGCAAAGGCTGGGGGAGGGGGTCTTTGGGGGGCAAGGAGCCAGTCAGGGGCTTGTCTCCCCGTCATACAGCTCCCCAGACACCTTCCTCATATCCGAGACCCAGATGTAGGCCAATAAACAGTTCAATTTTTCTTTCTAGTGGCGGTGTGTCTTTTCAGGCTTAAGGGAGGAATTCCTGCCATTAGCGTCCCATGGCTGGGCTGGATGGGGCAGGGGTGGTGGCTGCTGTCTGGGCATGTCGTCCTTTGCCAGGCTTCCCATCCCATGCCCCCTACCCTTAGCCTGGCTCCAGCTGGGATGCCAGGATCTCAGTGGCTTCTGAGAAAACAGGGATCAAGAGAGAGTTTCCCCCTGGGCAGCTGTCTAGCCCCTCCCAGGCATTAATTAGGTCTGGGGCCTCCCTGCTTTCCTTCAAAGAGGCAGCCTGACAGGTGGTAGGGGGCTCCTTCTCCATCCCAGTGACATATGCCTCCCAGGGAGCTGGGGAAGTGGTTTTGGGGGATACAACAGACCCAGATACCCCTTTGGGGCTCAGTATTTCCCCAGAGTAATGTCTGACCTTCCTTAAGCACTTTCCAGGCAGGAAGACTTGACTCCTTAGGAGGTGGGAGTTGTGATAAACTCTTATGGAGGTGTGGGTTCAGAGAAGTTAAGTGATTTGCTCAGGATCACACAGCACTAGTGGACTCAGTGCCTGTCTAGATTTGAACCCAGACAGGCTGACTCCAGATCACTCCAGCTCCACCACTGGGCTAGAGAGAGGCCCCTTAGCCCCCTCTTTGCCATAGAAGGACAGCCTCAAGCCTCACGCAGAACCAGATGGCATGTGGCTGGGGGATGGGTCCCTTGCTGGGCTCCCAGGTAACAGCCTCCTCCTTTGCCTGGCGCCAGAGAGCCCAGCGACTCTTTGGAAGACAGGTTTGGAGCTTCGATTGAGGGAAGGGTCCCAGGCCCCCAAGCTGGAGCTTGAACACTAGGACATCAGGAGGGGAGGAGGCAGACAGGAGCTGACAGCCCGCAAACCCCATTGGAATTCCCCTTTTCTAACAGTTGAGAAATAGCCTCTGGAAACCTGAGCCCTAGACAGGGATGGGAGGGGGGAAGAGGAGGGGAGGGGAGAGGAGGAGATGGTGGAGAGGCACATGCCAGGCCAAAGTCAATAGATTTCCCCCAAATAGCCACGTGCTTCCTCCATTTCCTCTTTCTCGGGCCTCTGCTCAAGTGCCACCTCCTCATAGAGGCCCTCCCTAACCACCTACTTGCCCCCAAACTGCTTCCCACCTGGAAGTACGTTGGACATCAATTTATCTGCCTCCCCCGCCGTTAAAATACGAACACCTTGAAGATAGGACTGCACCTGTCTTATTCACCAATGCATCTCTAGCGTCTTAAAGAGTACTTGGCATGTTCCCACCTTGGGGCCTTTGCATCTGCTGTTCCCTCTGCCTGGAATGCTTACACACAGTAGGTGCTCAATTAAGTGTTTTTTGAAAAATGAAGCAAGGACCAGGCACAGTGGCTCATGACTGTAATCCTAGTACTCTGGGAGGCTGAGACGGGAGGATGGCTTAAGCCCAGGAGTTTGAGGTTGCAGTGAGCTATGATGATGCCACTGCACTTTAACTGGGGTGACAGAGTGAGATTGTCTCAAAAAAAAAAAGGAAGCAACAGCAAATAACGGTTATTTCAGTGAGTGTTAAGTGCTAGGAAGAAAGTGAAACAGAAGCAATAGTTTTGAGGTATTGGTGATATTTTCAATGGTGAGGCCAAAGTAAATCTCTGGAACAGGTCACACCCCACATTCGTTGAGTAGGCCTTTGGAAATATAACTAATGTTTTTGCGTTTGTGTGTGTATTTTTTTTTTAGAGATAGGGTCTCGCTCTATTGCCCAGGCTGGAGTGTGGTGGCAAGATCATAGCTCACTGTAACCTTCAACTCCTGGGCTCAAGCGATCCTCCTGCCTCAGCCTCCTGAACAGCTGGGACTACAGGCACACGCCACCAAGCCCAGCACTAATTTTTCTTTATTTTTTTGTAGAGATGGGGGTCTTGCTGTGTTGCCCAGGCTGGTCTCCAACTCCTGGCATCAAGTGATCCTCCCGCTTTGGCCTCCCAAAATACTGGGATGACAGGTGTGAGCCACTGTGCTTGGCTAATTATAATAGTAAACTCTGCCTAAAGTGTGCTGGGCACTGTTAAAGTAACTTACACACACTTACGAACTCATGGAATCTTCACAACAACCCTATAGAGTAGGTACTATTATTGAATGAATCTTTGACAAATAAGGAAATGGAGGCAGAGAGAGGTCCAGTAAGCCACCCAAGGTCAAGTGGCTTGTGAAGGAAGGGGCCAAGATTTAAGCCAGGCAGTCCTTGGAGACTGCAGTCACATCTGATCTTCCTCGACGTCCCAGTCTGAAGATCCAGTTCGCTGATATGTCTCCAGTCTTGGAGCCCAGCATGGAACAGACCCACGTGCAGGAAATACAAGTTAACTTTCACCTTCTTTTTCCCTAGGGAGGCTGTTGGCTATTAGGGAACATCAGAATGTCCTGGAAGAACCTGTTAAAATGTAGATTCTCAAGCTCTGTAGTCAGAAATGCTTACTACGAAGATCTGGAAATGACCCCAGAAATGTGTGTTTCTCACCAAGCACCCCCCAGGAATTAAAAAATGCATGGTCCTTGGACTGTGTTCTGAGAAACATTCTAGACTCCATAAGCCAGAACAGCATTGTCCATTAGCACTTGAAATGTGGTGATATGAGGCAGAAACTGAATTTTAAATTTTATTTAAGTTTAATTAACTTCCATTTAAATAGCCACATGTGCGCATTGGCTGCAGTATAGGACAGCACAATTCCAGATTCTATATCCTGGTTTCCGCAGCCTCTGAGCAACTGAACTCTTTTGGCATTATGCTACCATCGCAACAAAAAACATTTCTTTTTTTTTTGAGATGGAGTTTTGCTATGTTGCTCAGGCTGGAGTGCAGTGGCTATTCTCAGGTGTGATCATAGCTCCCTGCAGCCTCAAACTCCTGGGCTCAAGCCATCCTACTGCCTCAACCTCCCCCGTAGCTGGGACTACAGGCGCACACCACCACACCCAGCTACAAAAATTCTTTTTTTTTTTTTTTGAGACAGAGTCTCACTGTGTTGCCCGGGCTAGAGTGCCGTGGCGTCATCCTAGCTCACAGCAACCTCAAACTCCTGGGCTCAAGCGATCCTCCTGCCTCAGTCTCCCGAGTAGCTGGGACTACAGGCATGTGCCACCATGCCCGGCTAATTTTTTCTATATATGTATTTTTAGTTGTCCAGATAATTTCTTTCTGTTTTTAGTAGAGACGGGGTCTCGCTCTTGCTCAGGCTGGTCTCGAACTCCTGACCTTGAGCAATCCACCCGCCTCGGCCTCCCAGAGTGCTAGGATTACAGGCGTGAGCCACCGCGCCCGGCCTGACCTTGACATTTTTGAGAAATATAGGTCAGTTATTACTTGGGTTTGTCTGATGTTTTCTCATGATTAGATTCAAGTGGTGCATTTGGGGCAGGAAGACCCCAGCCTGTTGTCATTTAGTCCCATCACTGGCCATGTTAATTTTGATCACTTGGCCAAGGTGGTGTCTGCCACGTGTCTCCACTTTAAAGTTACTACTGTCACTCGCGCCAGCCGGCCCACATTCCACGTCTTCCCACTGTTGCGCCCCTCCACGGAGAGCAATGGAAGAGGAAATTGCCACGCTGGTCATTGACGATGGCTCCAGCATGTGCGCAGCTGGCTTTGCTGGGGGCGATGCCCCCTTAAGTCGTGTTTCTCTCCATCGTCAGGCGCCCACGCCACCAGGGCGTGATGGTGGACATGGGCCAGACAGACTCGTATGTGGGTGACGAGGCCCAGAGCAAGTGCTGCATCCTGGCTCTGAAGTACCCCATCGAGCACGGCATTGTCACCAACTGGGACGACATGGAGAAGATTTGGCACCACACTTTCTACAACGAGCTGCAAGTGGCCCCCAAGGAGCACCCGGTGCTGCTCACGGAGGCCCCTCTGAACCCCAAGGCCAACAAAGAGAAGATGACCCAGATCATGTTTGAGACCTTCAATGCTCCGGCCATGTGTGTGGCCATCCAGGCCGTGCTGTCCCTGTATACCTCTGGTTGCACCACTGCCATTGTCATGGACTCTGGAGACGGAGTCGTCCACACGGTGTCCATCTAAGAGGGTTATGCTCTCCCCAGCGCCACCCTGCCTCTGCAGGCCCTGACGGACTGGCTCATGAAGATCCTCAAGGAGCGTGGCGACAGCTTCACCACGACAGCCGAGCGGGACATTGTGTGTGACATCAAGGAGAAGCTGTGCTATGTCGCCCTGGACTTCGAGCAGGAGATGACCACTGCTGCGTCCTTTTCCTCCTTGGAGAAGAGCTACGAGCTGCCCGACAGCCAGGGAATCACCATTGGCAACGAGCGGTTCCAGTGTCTAGAGGTGCTCTTCCAGCCCTCCTTCCTGGGTACGGAGCCCTTCGGCATCCGTGAGGCGACCTTCAGCTCCATCATGAAGTGTGATGTGGACATCCGCGAGGACCTGTATGCCAACATGGCGCTGTCTGGTGGCACCACCATGTCCCCGGGCCTCGCGACAGGCTGCAGAAGGAGATCACCACCCTGGCGCCCAGCACCATGAAGGTCAAGATCACCATTGCTCCCCCTGAGCACAAGTACTCTGTGTGGATCAGCGGCTCCGTCCTTCCAGCTGTCCGCCTTCCAGATGTGGATCAGCAAGCAGGAGTGCGACGAGTCCGGGTCCTCCATCGACCACCGCAAATGCTTCTAAACGGACTGCGAGCAGATGTATCTCGTAACAGCGCTGGATTGTAGAACTTGTTGCTGATTTTGACCTTTTATTCAAGTTTACCGTTCCCTTGATCGTTTAATACCCTGCACATGTCTTTGATTTGAACCCTTAAGACCTGTGGCTCAGTCACCTGGTGGCTGAGGTGAAAAAACGTGCTTGGAAGAGAAAGCTGTGACCTGAGCGGTCGCAGATGAATCTGTGTGGCCATCAGCCTTGGTCTGTGCAGGGTATTAGTGCGTCAGAGCTGACCATTCCTGGAGAGGACTG